TATTGCTGCTTACTTCGCTTATGACATGTATGTGTGATGGAATGCATGTTCAATGCAACGACACAGACACATCTATAGGCATACTCCCCTTGCTACCTACCCCCGCAAATGATCTAACGAACCTTCTTAAGATTCTAATAATTATAATAAAATACTTCAGATTGTTTAAAAAATATAATTTTGTTAATTACACAGATTATAAAAAGAAATTTGTATCAAGTAAATCAGAATAGGTGTTTTTATAGATTTTTGGTCATTAATTTGATTTGTTCATAAAGAAACACTGCCACAAACTAAGTTGCTCTATCACGGTTTTATTTTGAATTTAGATAGATTTGATAAAAAAATCAGCAATTTATAAGAAGAGTGTATAATAAATTACTAATCAATAAAATAATAAAAATATAGATAATTGTTTGAACTTTTATATTGATTTTTTATTAACAATAAAAAATAAAAAATAAAAAATGTCGTAAATAGCAAAACTGTTTATTTGTTAAGGATACACGTTGCATAAAAAAGCAGGCAAAATTTTTTCATGTTTGACAAAATTAATAAGAATGCAAATCGGATTTTAATGTTATAGGCCCAATTCTCTTTGTAATAAAATCTTGAAATTTTATTAAGATTTTATTATAAAGAAAATATGGGACTTATAATATTGAAGATCCGACTCTTTGTTCTCACTAATTTTGCCAAATGTGAAAAAAGTGCTTGCTTTTATGCATCCTTAGAAAATAATCATTTTTGCTGTTTACAACAGGATTTTTTAATTTTTACTCATTTTTATTAATAAAGAATCAATATTATAAAATTCATTCACATATTTTTATTAATTTATTGACGATTAATAACTTATTATGCATTTTTTTGTTATAAATCGTTAATTTTTTTTATCTTAAAATTCAAAATAACTTTAAAATCTGTAAAATCGTAATAAAATATTTTGCTTATGGCCTTGTTTTTGTAACTAAAAATATATAAAAAACATTTTAATTAGAGTTACTTGACATATTTTTTGTGGTCCTGTGTTATTGTACAGTCTGAATTTTAACTCAAGAAAAATAATAACAAAAATAAATAAAAATAGCAAATAATATAAATAAAATAAAAACGCCTGATGATTATTGATTTTTAAAAATCTTATAATATTTATTTAACTAGTTTTGTATTGTTTTTTAAGTTTTATCATGCACGCAATTTTGTGCTCTATCTTTGATAATTATATTTCATCACACGGAAATAGGGCGCCATTGTAACAGCAATCATTACGCTTCCGTCATCGCTGTATAATCACGTTTATGATGCATTGAAGTGACCTTCACTCCTCACAAAATGAATAACAATATTAATAAGAGAAATCTTTGAAGTTTATAGAGAATTTGTTTATCGAGAATGTACTGTTTGTAAATTTATATACTTCATTAGTATTAAGAATAGAATTGAAAAAGTGGAGCAAACATAACTAAAGATAAAAGATGTTTATTAAAAGAAGGCTCACAAAAATTTGATAAACAAGTATCCTATTTTAATTTATCTTTCCGATAACAATGTCTCCAAAAGTATTGTTGAAATAATGAAGTGAGAATCATTTCATGCAGGTAAAACAATAATGTGGAATCGAATAGACCAAACAACAAACCTTTATATGCGTTCTCTACCACGTGATTATAACGAAACGTAATTCCACCGTTCCACGAAGGTGCTACGGAACATCGCGCACCTGTACCAACAACATTTCCGTTGTATGTGTGTGTACACGTAAATAGATACACACATGCACGCCGAGATTACGTATGTTCGTTCCGACTGTCATCGGTATAATTACGTTTGCAAACGGCAAACGCACTCGTGCATGCGCCGCCGACTCGCATCCCGCAATGCCTAAAGCCGCACTCACATCGAATAAGAGAAAATTGTAAAGAAATTATAAAAAATTATACTTTTGAAAGAGCGTATAAATAAGCAAAGAATTAATACAAATTAAACGAGATTGATATGTTTACATCTTAGTGGAAATCTAACAAAAGAAAAAATTGCTGCTTTATTGCTGCGTTGTCAGCATTTATTAGCATATAAAAATAATTCTAATAATTAACAACAAAAAGTATTCTAAAAGAAATGAGAAAATTGAAAATTTATTAATAATTTAAAAAAGTAAAAAGTTTCAATTAATTGTAATTAAAAATTCGTGACTAAAATATTTAATAATAAAACCAATTGCAAATAAAATCTATATAAATCAATAAGTTAAAAATAAAAAAGATATTTAAAAAATATAAAAGTAAAAGCATAATGTTACATATAAATTCCAATTTTCTAACAAAATATAATTTCTAAAATCTGTTTTTTTATAAATGTTATAGCTGACATTTTTTATATAATACTTGCACTATATATGATATTCTATAGAAATATTAAATTTTATTAATTTTGTTACTCACTTCAATGTCATCTTTCTCAATTCTCCGATCGTTGGATTATATTCTCGGTCCTCCCCGCTAATTCTTGCTACTCCTTCGTCAACGTTTACCGCATACCCGTTTATTACCAAGTCCATCAAATCCGTGAAATCGTCGTGCTTTCTCATCGTCGATGACAATGGCGTTACTTCGCTTTTCCTAGATTTTTCAATGGTGGGCGTTACGTTGCTATTAGCCTGTTCACGACTGCCGTTGCCTCGTTGAAGAAACTTCCTACGGAAATTATTATAAACGGTATCGGAGTCCGGCGGATCGCCGATTCGGACTCGAGCATGGCTGGGATTCAAATGATGACCACTGTAGCCCAAGTCCATCTGCAAATCCATCACCAGCAGCAATGTGAACACAATGGCTAGCGCACTTAAACATAACACTAACTTATCGCGAATACGAATAAGTCTGACGTTTAGTCTCATTTTGGGATTTTTATAAGGTCTCTTGCTGATTGTTCTATGTCTCTTCTCACTGTCCAATAACTTTCGCTCAATTGATGGCAACTGTGAATTATCTGATTGATGATGTATAAGAACGAATGATTTCTGGATCAATCGTTGGTTATTTAAAGCTCCAAGATTATCGATTATTTTCGATGTAGAGTTATTAGTACATATTTTCACAGATGAATTCTTTAAAATTTTTTCGGAAGTTTTTATTTTTGTAACTGAATCGTCTATTTCATTAAATGGATTGTTTAAAATGTTTTTTTTCTTAGAATTTTCTTTAAAATGTACTGTTAATGGCAATTGTAGATCAATAGAATTATGAAATTGATGATTTATAAGGTCAAAGGAGTTTTGGGATATTCTCTGAATTAATCTTTGATAATATGGAGCTTCAAGATTATCAATTATTTTCAAGTTATCAATGTCTCTTTTTGTAACTTGATTTTTCAAGATTTCTTCAGAATCTTTTATCTTAATAATTGGTTCCTTTAATGTTTTTTTTGACTCCTGCACTTCGATGATTTGACATTTCAAGTTTTTATCGAAGTCTTTTTCTATAATTACTAGATTCTTCGGATTTTTCTTAGAATCTTTTTCAAAATTCGAATATTCTGACACACTTTCAGTGAACCCCGCGATGGAGTCAGTTGGTAAAACTTTTTCAGAGATGTCTATTAGTTGTTCAGGATAAGAAGAAATCTTAATGATCTTGATATGCTCTTCAAGTGGTTTCGCGATCGACTGATGTTTTGCACAGCGATTTGAAACGGTAAATTTACATTTTACGACCGAATCGTATTTATCGGCTGACCCGCTGTTATCGGATCCCGTTGACTTTTGATCCGGCCAGTCTTCCTCCGGCGGAGGCGATCGCTTGACTTTGCAAACACTATTGCTTCCTTTTCGTACTTTCTTCCCAGATCCAAGAACTTGCTGAGTGTCCTTCAAAGAACAGCGTCTATGAACGATAGATGATTGATAAGAGAGATGTTTTGAATCGCTCCTAACTTGTTTAAGTCTTGAAGATATGGATACAGCTTGATCATCAACAATATTTAAATACAGTTCTTTTTTCAATAAAGGATTGTTCTGGATAGTCTTTCTTGTAGGTTGCAATAGCTCTTCTTTCTTTTCTTTTAAAGAAATATCTTTTTCACTTAGAAAGCAAGAAGGTTTTTTTGACAAAGAAAAACTATTTTGGTCAATATTTTTTGTTAATTGCGACAATACATTTTCTTCAGGAATATCTTTTTCTTCTTCAGACAAAGAAGAACCTGGCTTAGCTGGAAAATTGACTTTCCTAGCGGGAGAATAAAGATCCTTTGTCAACAAAAAATTTTCTAAAATGTCCCTGTCTATTAATAAATGTGATTGTGAAATTACAGAAATGTCTTTCTCTTTATCGGATAAAGAAATAAGATTCTTCGTCAATAAATCGTCATCTTGAATGGTTCTTTCTGCTAACTGTAATTGCGGATCATTAAAAATGTCTTTTCTCTGCAATAATAAAGAACTTTCGACTGTTAGTTGCGAAGTTTTCTGAGAATCTTTTTGTACTAAAAATACGTTTTCTTCAAAAACACTCTTCGACAATTTTATGTTTTTTTGAACGTCTTTTTTCGTCAATTGCATTAGTGGATCAATTAAAATATTCTTTTTTGTTAATAGCAAATTGTCATCCACATTTTTATTTATTAAATGTGCACCCTTTTTAGTATTACTTCTTGTCAACGACGATCTTTCTTGAACGTACTCCTTTAAGAATAAATCAGTTTCTCCAATATTTTTTGTTGTTAATTGGGAGATCTCATTAGATATATTCTTCTGGATATTCTTTGATGACGATATATCTTTACCAACACTTTTTTGTATCAGTTGTTTCTGAAGACCTGTCTTCGTCAACAAACATTCTTCCGCATTTTTCTTTGGCAACAGAAGACTTTTATTAATGTTTTTATTAAACCCTTCTTCCTTCAATAAAGAACAATTGTGATCATTTTTTTTCACTAATAAGATCGTTGTATTTTTCTGATCATGTGTGACTAACAGTTTTTCTTCTTCTAATAATTTTTCTTTTTTAATGTTCTTTTTCATCAATAATGAGCTGTCCTCAATATCTTTTTTCAGCAGTGAACTTTCCTGTATGTCCTTCACTAGTACTGGATTCTGACAATTTTCGTTAGCTTTTCTTTGAATATTTTTCAGTAGAAATAATGGAGTTTCTTTAATATCTTCCTTTAAATTTCTTTCTATATCTTCTTCCCTTTCTAATATTAAATTCTGCTGATCATTTGTATTGTCCAATAATACTTTCTCTAGAATATTGTCCCTCAATGATAAAGAATCTTCGTGAACATCTTTCCTCAAACCTAGATTCCACTGGGTATTTTTCTTTAGCAACGATTGATCTTCTTTAATAATCCTCAGCAATCTATCGCATTTCTTACCTATATTTTCCCTGAACACTCTCTTTAAGAAGTTCTTCGTCCTTTTAAATCTTCCAACATGATTTACTGTTAACCGATCATCGATCGATAACCCATAGGATTTATCTGTTATTCTCTTTCTAAAATTCTTTGACTCCTCGTCATCATTGTTTTCATTTAAAAATTTTTCACTTTTTAATCTACATTCTTCGCATTTCGATTTTAATTTTGATCTAAATCTTCCGCATGACTCTTTACAATTGTATGCGCTATCTGTATATATCGGGCGGTCGGAAGTTGCTGTCTTGCTGCAACTTGCACTTTCGGGACATCTCCCGTCGGCCAGAGTTCGGGATGATCCTAAAGAATGATCCGACGTTGCGATGCGCTGGCGTTTTGTACGCACAGATTTTTAAAACAGATCACTCGAGGCACTTTTACCGTGTTTTAAGCACTCAAGAAAATATGCTGAACAAGTATATCATATAAATAATTAAACGTTTAATTAAAGAATAAACTGAATTTTAAGAAAAGTACGTGGCACCGCGACACTCTGCGTTTTCACCGTCGGATCGCCTGAAACAAAGAAAAAAATATAATTATTATTATATGAAAAATTATATGAAAAAATTAATTACGAATTAGTTTAACAAAAAAAGTCAAAGAAAAAAAATGATTATTTCTTTAATGCTCAATTCGATGTTTAAATTGGAAAATATTATATTATGTGTATTAGTTTTGAAAAATTTATAATTGAAATTAATTTTATAACAGAATGTATTGAAAGTCAAAATCTCTTTAATTATTATAAATAGGGGAAACATATAATATTTTAAATAAATCTTATCATATTTAGATTTATATAAAACTGCAAAAATTGACATACTATTCTATTAAAAAATTTAGTATCATCTCTTGTGTTCTTTTTTTGAATGATCAAGACAATCCTGTATATCATTTAAAGGGCCTCAATAAATATAAAATCAGAAAATAAAATCCTTATTATCTTTAATAATATTTTAATATCTTTAATAATATTTTATAATACTTTATACCTATACGACACTCTATATATATAATTTTTTTTATTTCAAAATTTTAAGAAAAATAAAATGTTTGTAGTTTAACTAAAATTTTTTATATACTATGATTATGCATACCAATGTATTGCATTGCGATGCATCATTGTGGTGTATTATATGATGCGTGGCATGTAATTCAAGCCGCTAATGAGACGGCCAGCGTTATTTTTACGACGCGCAGCAGCATCTGCCGCTTTTATATTACCTATTCTATTTTTACAGTACATACGTACACGTGCCATTTTGATACTTATATCGTGCTATAGCATACAATAAACAAACTGGATATACAAATGGTATAGTGTAATGTAACCATGCTGCAATCACTTGTTTTTCTTCTATCATTTATTTAGAATGATTCAACAGATATGTATCATCCGAATTATGTCTAGATATATCTAACATATAATTAAATTTGCAAAGAGAAAGCGACAGTTATATTAATTATTATATCATTAGTTTGTAATTATTTAATGACATGTGGTTAATTTAATTTTTTTATGGTTATAAATATTATTACTAGAATATTTTGTAGATTAATGTTTTTTTATTATTATAGACAATAATAAAATAAATAATATGACAATTCCGAAATTTTAACATTTTATTTGATAATACTAATAATATTGGATCGCACGTTCTCGTATTTATGAGTAGAATTCCAATTCTCCTAATTGCTAATTAATTAGCAAACGCTAATGAGAGGTAAAAGGACCGGAAAACCTCAAATACCACCAAGAGGTCATATGTTATTTCGAAAACACAATCACGTTTTCCATATAGTCGAATGGATGGAGTTTTACGAATCTTACGCGCACTTTTCTTCCGCGCGGAGGAACATCAATGATTGTATATAAGTAGGTATATATGGTATCTTTATTATATCAGAAATGCGGGACACGCAGAATTTCAATAGCACTTCAATTCCGATGCAATAACCAGCCGACTTTTACATCGACTTTTTACAGCAAGATTTTGGCTCACATTACACGATGTAAGTGTCTGTTCAGATCGCAGATTCCGGCGAAACGGTCGTCCAAAGATCACCAATCGCCTCGATAAATATTATTTATTTAGAGATGACTAGCTATTTTCTACAAGTAAACGATCTTATCATTTTTGACATTGCAATCTCACATTGTTTTATTAAAAATGGTCATGCATTTTTTGTAGATAAAATATTGATAAAAAAAATTTATTACATTAATATATTTTACACAAATTCATAATAGTTTTAACAGTATTTATGACAACTTTGTTTTTACTTCTGCTTAATCACGTTTAGCTCAAGCAATCTCCTTGTACATACATTACATTACCGAGAAACCTTGTGATTATTAATTTAATTATTTATTCGGTTTTTATCTCGATATAATTAATTATAAATTTTTATCTTTGATAATTTAGATTACATATATTACAATATACATATAATCTAATTGGTATCGATATCTTTAAAAAAAAACTAAAAGTGCAGTGATAAAAAGATTCGCGCGTAGAAATAGCACATTACGATTTTTTATCGTCCGCGAGGTTTGTGTTGCCGGGTCAAGGTGCGCTCTTTAAGAGAAGGGTGAAAGCGGGTGGATATCAACTGTGAAATAGAGTGACGGTAATGGGGCTGCGCGTTGCGAGAGTGGCCATTACAGTTATCGCGAAGTCGCGTCATAAAGGCGACGGTGCAGCTATTATATATATGTATAAATGCATTTTGTGCGCGCGTGCGTGTGTGTGTGTGTGTGTGTGTGTGTGCTGGTGGAAGGTGTTACATACACGATATATAAATAAGGGAAAAAGAGCGTGGTATCGAAGCAACTGCATAATTCAATATCTCTACAGTCGCTACTGCTTCGGGACGAAATCTCGAGGACGTGTATACATTTCCGAGATTATAAGTTTTCACCTTTTTTTCTTTTTAAAGCTGTAAATAATACGATTTTATTAAATGTATTTATTGTATTTATATTGCATGATGTATTAAATGTTTTTATATTATGAAATATATTTATATTTAAAAATTTTACTTTAAATCAAAGATTTAAGATTGTTTCAAAATCAACTTAATTTTTTTATACAGGATATCCCATTTTAATGTAGTAGAATAACTCGAAAAATATAGAAGATATGAAATAATGTTTCAGGCAGAAGTTGTATACATGGTCTGAAGAAAACAAACAATAACAAAATCACTTTTTGAAAAAATTCATTTGTTAAAGTAAAATTTTCATTCTTTAAATAAAAATTTTTTAATTTTTTTACATAACATAATTCGTTTAGTTTCTGAAAAAGTAATTAAAGTTATAAAAAAAATATCAACAATTTACATATATTTTATACCTTATTCTAACACATTTTAATTGAAATGAAATATCAAATATTTCATAAATTATTCAATTTTTGGTAATATGTTTTAATATTTTTGTGTACAGAATAACGAGATAAATTATACAAAAGTTATACAAAAAATAAATGAAGCATAATTTCTTTTAAAAAAAGATACGTAGTTGTATTATAAATTACAAATTGGACATAATACATAATTGGAGTGTCTCATACATTTAAAATAAAGGAAAATTTCGAGTTTTTATTAATAATCTCCAAAATTAAAATAAGCAAATCGGATATGTTGTATCGAATAATGATATTTTCAACTTTCGGTTCCAACCGAAAATGGATTGTTCAAATCTGATATTGAATTTTTTTTTATGTAACATGATACTTTTATTACAGATTTAGATTACACGCAAAAAAATAAGAAATTTTTGTCTCAAATATTTTTTTCTAAATATACTTCCATTAACTTCGAAAATAAGTGTAATGAGAAAATAAATTTTAATTTTTAGTGTAATCCCTCATTTGGTTAACCAATTTTCTAAAATTGTTTTTCAGAACTTTTTTTTATGACCAAACAAATAGGAGGATTGTTTTCATCGAAACGTACTTTAAGATGAAAAATATTAAATATTCTTGATTTAGCTAGCTAGAAGTTTTATAGAGATTTATCTAGCCATGTCTTATTCGATTAAAGAAGCATATAATATACCAATTTTGTGTAAGTGTCGAAATATATTCGCTGCAGCTGAAGATGTTGCAAAAGCGTTATTCTAATTGAACTTTCTTCTTGCGAAACACGTTTTTTCACGTTTCGACTAACTGAATCAGTGTCGTTCAGCTCAACAAAACAGAAGTAGACTGATCTTTCATCCAATTAGAGATGAAAGACCAGCGGAAATTCTTGTATCAGAATTGAATACTCATGTTTTTTAAGACGAGAAAGAAATTTGGGTATTTATTCTGGATGTTCTGGTAGTCGTGATTAGCTGGCGCGTTTTGAAAGAAAACAAGTTTAACCTATACAAAATATCTATTCACCAAGCGTTGAATTTTTAAGGAATCATGTAATAGTTTTGCAATTGGATAAGATAGTAAACACTTAATTTTCACATCAAAACTTTATCTTCTGACAAATGTATATTTAAATGTAATGAATCTGTCAAGATTTGGAACTATCGTTATTAGTCACAAGTTAATTCTCACAGTTAAGACAAATGGAACATCAATATATTTGGAAAATCAATGTTTAGTGCGGCATTATTAGAAGTCATAGATTTTATTTTCTTTGAAAGAAAATAGAAAATATAAACAGATAGATATTCACTTTTGATAGAGACAGATTTTCTTTTCTCACTAAAAAATCTCACTCTGCAATTGCACGTAGATATGTGATTCCAATAAAATAGATGCCAGTCGCATATATTAAAAATTGCCCCAGCAATTCTAAACATAATTTCCAACAAGTGGATTGTTTCCAACAATAGGTAAATACAATCAATTAGCTACTACGAATTAATTAACTACCTCACTATGTTGTTAATTGTTAATTATTATTTATGGCAAAGGATAAAAATCTTGATATACAAAGGATATGACAGAAGGATAAGTGAAGAAATCCTTAAGTACTAATAAAATTCTCTTCGAGCAACCAATTCCTTTTAAAGCAAAATAGATGCTTGCATTGCAGAGAATAGTGCTCAGTTTGAATTCGCTTGAACAAACACATACTTACTCATTCAGAAACACATGCACGCACACTAACAAACATTGGATCAGATATCTGTTATGTCCTCTTGGATTATGTCAAGAGAAGTTAAAGTTTATCTTTTCATCATACTTTTACGATCATTTCAACGTCAATGAAAGCATTTTTAGAAAAATGATTCAGACAAAAATTTCTTATTTTTTTACATGCACATAATCCAAATTTATAATAAAAAGTATTACATTACAGTTTATTATAGTTAATATAATTACATTATACTATAATTACTATAGTTTAAAAAATTCAACATTTGGTCTGAATAGTCCATTTCTGGTCGAAACTAGAAGTCAAAAATATCACATTCATTAGAGCGTAACCAATTTACTTGTCAAAATATTTAAAATTTTTTATAAAAACTTCAAATTTCTCTTGAATTTAAAAGGAATATACAGGTCAAAAATCCTGTATATTCTAATTCGA